GAGAGAGAGAGATGTCAGGATCAGGCCAAGGAGAGACATGAGGGGGAGGGGAGGGGACGAAAGGGGTTGGGATGGGAGAGAAGGGGAGGGGGAGGAGGGAGGAGGGAGGAGGGGGGGGATATAAGAAAACAGGTCAAGGCCTAAAGGCCAACCAAATCATAAAAAGGAATGAGTGAGACAAACTAAAGATAGAGACTGAAAAGAAGCAAAGAAGAATGTTATTGATCAGATAGATGAAACAACAGCTGAAATGTATTACATCATCATCATAACCCAAACACATGCACTAACAAATATATTCAATCTCCAGAGAACTGTATGTTTTTACCACTATTTTTATGCCACTGAATCCCATTCTAAACTCAACATTATATTTCTACAGACTCTCTGACTAACCACCTCTAAGTTCCATTTAACTAACCATTTCTCAACATCTAAAATCTACTCTATGACTGTTTCTTCTAAATTCTACTGAATTAACCATTTCTCAACATCTTGTAACATCTACATTACTGACAAACTTCAACCACCTTTTTCAAATTCTATCATAACTAAACACCTTTCAACATTTTCTAAAACCCTAAAAAAAAGCAACTGGCTCTCAACACCTTGAGTAGACAAAGCTATCCATCTCTCGGCATCTAAAACCTAATAAATCTAATCACCTCTCGACAACTTCTAAAATCTAAAAACGTGGTGTCAGCGGCCGAGTCGTAAGGCTCCAAGACTTGCTACCATAAGACGTGGGTTCAAATCCTGTTACAGGCCCAACGTGTTGTGTCCTTGGGAAAAGCACTTTACATTAATTTTCCTCACTTCACCCAGGTGGGAATGGGTACCTAGTAATAAACAGGTTGTTAGTGTTTGAGTGCGTATCTTCCACAACTTGCACTGTATTTTTCTGAGGAAACCAATAATGTTTCTGAGTATTCTAGGGTCTGCTGAGGTAATAACACTTGTAAAGCACATAGAGCATGCTGTGGAGCGTGGATATGTGCTGTATATATGCAATTTTCATTATTTATTATAAAACTAACTAACTACCCTTATACACGTAAATTTTAACACAACTTACCATCTCTCAACATCTTCTTGGCCTCCGACTTGGCCATCTCTAGGGCCATGATCCACTTCTGTCGCTCCACCTCCGAGCCGGCCTTGAGGTGGAAGGTCTGGGCTCCACCATTGCTGATGACAATGGTGGTGGAGTCCTCCGTGTGGATAATGGCGTTGGCCAGGTTGATGGTCCCACGGCACGTGTGGGCCATCTCCGCCTGGTTCCTGAGAGAGGAAAAAAAATAATTTTTTAATAGTAATTTTAAAAAATGTTTTACACCCTCATCTACACAAGTCGGTTCATTTACAGGGGGAGTAGGCTTCTTCAACCCTGCTCCTCAGGTTCCACATAGGATTTTAGTTTAGTCCTAAAAGGGTTTTACAGCACTTGCAACACAATAAGGTCATATGTGTCACGACGAAGAGGAGTCAGGTGCTCGTCAATTTGTGGGCATAATGGTCATTGGTAGCATCTTAAAGGTAGTTCATTTGTTTTGCCTTTGACTAAAAAAATATCCATTTATCTTGAATAGACATCAAGATATTTGCTATTGAATGAGGTGGGGTGGCCTGGTTTCTGAGGTAAAATTAGCGAGAAAATAGCCGTTAAAGTTATGTCACTTCCATAGCTAAAGAGTCCTCAAAACTGCAAATTAAAATTTGCAGTGCCTTTAATCAACGTTTTTCCATAAAATCCACACATAAAATTGTCTTTGAATTGACTTACAGGTGTTGAGCCAAAAAACAAACAAAACATTTTTAATATCCAAACTAGCCGAAAAAATGCCTATTCCTCAGATTACATTATTTTGACGAGCTTCAGTTCAGTTTTAGTAGAGGTTATACGCGCTCGCAACTGCATAAGGTCATATGAGCGCCAGAAGATTAGAGGTGTTACAAGAGAGTAACAAACATAAAAAAAGAAGAAGGGGAGAAAAGGACGATAGATGTTTGATAGGAAAGAAGAAGCAAACCACACCAGAGCACCCACCAACCACCCACATTTTGACGAGTACCTTGATTTTTCCAAAAAGCCTCACATATGTAAGTGCCGAAGATTAGAGGTGTTACAAACAAAAATAAAAGGAAAAGAGACAAAGACAATAATGGATATTTGATAGGAAAGAAGGAGCAAACCACACCAGAGCACCTGCCAACCACCCGTTGAAATAGAAAGAGAGGGATACAACATCCAAGCAGACAAATGATAATGCTTCATGAAAATTCTACAAATTCTTGGGCGATTTCTTGGAATAGTACAATGATTGGGGTTTTAACAGTTTTAGTAAGGTATTTACGGCACTCCCAACAGCATAAGGTTATATGAACGCCAAGGGGTGGACATCGACAGAAGTCCAAACAGGGAATCAGGCTCACTCTGCTTACCTCTCTAGACTCAACAGCTCAAAGTCTGCTTCGACTATCAAGGCACCCCGGAAATAGCAGTTCACAAGAGAGTGACAAACATACAAAAGAAGAAGAGGAAAAACGACGATAGTAAGGATGAGGAAAGAAAAAGCGACAGTTCCCCCTATGTTGTTCCGGCACAGTATGAGCATGACATTGATAAATCAACCCATTTACAATTCTACAGGGCATAAGAACATGTTAATATCCCCCCCCCCCTTTTGTGAATAACCTAAAGACAATTTCAGTCAGTAGCACTGTCCTGGTGGGGGGTGTACATTGACTGATTGCTACATTTCACTCTCATCATGACACAATTTGGATGTTTTGAGAAGTGGACTGCCTCAACCCTGCCTGCCAGAACTACCATGTGATGAGTGGGATACAGCATCATAGTTGAAAGGCAAAGATATGGCATGGGTAAAATGAGAAAAATCGAACTCGCGTCTTTTGTGCCTCAAGGCGAAGGGTCTAATCATTAAACCATAGATGCTGGAAAACAAGACAATGGTCGCTGTAGAAACTTGCTTTTCTTTCTTTTATTCTTCAAAAGTAGGCGTTTTTAAACATCCCCGTTGACACAATTTAAATCATTTGGGAGACGAGCTTTGACCCAGCCTATAAGAACCAACCCAGTCTGAGAGGGATACAACAATCAAGAATCTCAATAAAAGTTCTCGCCACACAGGAACTGTAATCAAGTCTTCTGCACCTGACAGCGAAGTGCCTACCCACTACACAACAAATGCGAGTCTGTATTGGGTTAATGAATTACAAAAGATACCCTTTAAAAAAAGTTTGTCAAAGTGGGTGTGCATGAGTGCAAGAGTATATGTGCATGTGCATAAATACCTGTGCCGTCTACAAGTAATTATGGCGAACTGAAAATGTGTAAGCAGCATAATGATTTTAAAAATATGAGTACTGTACATATATTATCCATATCATCCATTTCTCAAAAAAAGAAGAAAAAATCTGTAGCCATCTCACTTTTTTTTCTTCTTTCGCTTCATAAGGTAGCGCCACATCACGTCTACAGTGCAGCAAGAGTTCATAGGATGCACACTAAAAAATGCTCAACACTCCGGGAACACCATGCTTCACAGCATATTCAACAGAAATCCATAAGAATTCCTTCACATATTATGAATCACAATCACTGTTTCCAAAGAAATTAAAAATAAAAGCAAAAAAACATTTGTTATCTCTTAAACCACTAGACCCCTCCACAATTTGTGTACAAAGTTCTCACATGAACTCTTCACACACACAATATAGTTAAATAAAATCAACTTATATGTATACTATAAGAGGAGCCTAAAAATTGAGAAAACTATAATCTCAAGTTCTGATTCTGATATAAAAACAGACAGTCCTTTGAAGAAAGAGAAACACAACGTCACAATAATGGTCACTTAATGCTCGGACAAAGCAAGACTAATCGATAGAGAACACAGAGCGTAATGAAGCAGGACCTACCAGGGGCACCATCTAACCACCATTAGAATAAGAAATTCTCTTCCGTGAGAAAAACACTGGCCTTTCTTGCCTCCCTCCCTAGAGTATGCAGTGGTAAAAAACTGAGCTCATATCCCTAGCTCCATGGCAAAACACAGCTCTCTGCGATCCAAGACCACCACAAGAAACCACACAAGGAGAAAGGAACAGATCACTCAGAGTCAGGCTACTGGGAAGCCTGTAACAACACCATCAGACAACAGAACTAAACCAAGGGGGAACAACGGCATTAACCGACAGTGAGAAAGTAGGCATCTAAAAATAGAAAAATAGACCCATGAAGAGAACGAAAACTAGATCTTTCAGTAACAAATGATAAGAAAACCCTGAAAAGAGTAACAGTCTTTATCAGGAACAGCACAAACACTGAACAAGCACCAGAGGCCCTAAGTACAGTGAACCCTGCAGTCAGCAGACTGTATTCAGGACAGTGTATTCAGCACAGTGGTCGCATAAAAGAAAAATCAATTGAAACTGACAGATCAAATTTCCAACAAGAGTATTCACAATCAATTCAGCATTTTAGTCATGAATCATTTGTCATCACTATACACCAAGGCTTCCAGATACACCATTCATTCCATTAGTTGGTTTGACTATATAATAGAGATATACATAGACAAAATTATGGCTATTTAGTGCTTAGAAACAACAAGACTGATAGCCAAAGCAACAAAGGAAGAGTACAGAAGTAGGACCTGCCTGTCTGAGCCAACCTCTACGCTATACTGGACACTATAACCAAGCAGAAAGGTGTAAATACTCAATAAATGTAGACTTCTCCACGCAGGAATAGAACTTGTATCTTTTGGGAACAAAAGCAGAACATAACCATCACCCTACGGATGCCAGTAACAAATTTCTGATAGGTCAATAAGTGTGAAGTGTTTCAAGCCCCTCTTGACAAAACTTGAACCACAGAGCGTTCAAATCTTAATCTGAGTCGAGTTGTCAAGCGCTATAAATACTACTAGGGCTAAAAAAGGATCAGATATAGCAGACCTTTGTTAACAGTTTCTGCCCCCATCTACACTCACTCTGGACCTGCCTGTCTGGGTCAACCTGGGCTAATGGGACACTAAATTCGAGCAGAGAGACATCCACGCTAGATAAATAGTGTATTCTATGTCTGACTATGGAACTCAAGTCATTTGAATGCCAGGTTAACAGCGCATATCACTACACTATTGACGCAGGTACCCTAGGAGGAACAAGGGTAAGACCATCCATCTCTGACTAAATGAGTACGCAGGACACATTAAATATTTTCAGTTTGGTAGGAATTTTCAATTTTTTCCGGGTGGCAGCCAAAGCCTACTCTTATCAATTTTGGAACACCAAGGGCTCTTTAACGTGCGCAACTTGGGCCCTTATGCAGGAAGGTTAAGCATAAGATCTTTCCAACCATAACATCAGGGGTGTGGCTGAAAGACAGCAGTGAGAAGGAGCAAAGTAGTAGCAGCAGAAAGGCTGCAGACAGAGTAGAAACCCAGAGGAGGGGGCAAAGGGGAGGGGTTAGAAAAGGGAGACGAAAGCAGATGACAGAACATGGTTCGAGAGAAGGAAAGGAGGTGAAAGGAGGAAATTTTAGAGAAGAAAATTTTCCGTTGCTGTCAAGTCTCAAACTCAGGACCTATTGAATGACAGGCGAACACCATAACTTCTATACCACGAGAGCCCCCCATCTCTGACGGAGCAGAAACAGAGAAGAAAGCCAACCAAAAAACCAATACAGAAGTTTAAAAAAAAACAACTCATACACTTCAGAATGTGAACCAACTCATCTGAATCATAAGTTAAAGAACTGCAGAACATAGGCACACTTCACCTAACCGTAGCCGCAAAGGAAAATATATATATATATATATCATATTTCAAGGTGAGTTTTATGGATACTTTCCCTGCCCACTGACCACTCATTACTATGCTATACACAGTTCCACCAATTTTGACTCCAAAGTTTAAATCCTCAAAGACAACGGACTGAAATGTTAAAAGGTATAGGCTTAACACCTCTATCAACACAAAAGGTTATTAAACAAATCGATACCAGGATATACATTTACACGTATATATGACACAAGTAGAGGCAGGACAATAGGCTGAGGTAGTAAAAGAATTGAGTTTACATACAATGACAGTTTCTTCTTTGATTTATAGTAAATATTTGCCCCCTTCAACACAATTTAGATCGTGTGGGAGGTGGGCTATTTCTATTCTGCCTGTCAAGGAAAACCCATGTAGGGTTGGATCCAGCATCCCACTAAAGAAACAGAGACACTCAATAAGATGATGTCCCC